CAGCAATAAAAAGGAACAAACTAGTGATAAACATAGTATACAATGAATCTTAAAGGTACTACACTGAGTAAAAGAAGCAAATATCAGAAGATTACATACTACATGATTCCATTTATGTTACATTCTGTAAATGGGATAAGCATAGGAGAGAGAGAAAAATCAGTGTCCTAGGGATTGAGGGTGAGAGAAGGGCATGACTACAAAAGAATTTAAAGGGGTATTTTGGGGGCAGATGGAACTGTTCCATGTCTGATTGTGGTAGTTGTTACTACACTACAACTCACAGCTCTGTGCACCAAAACAAAAAATGGTTACGTTTACTGCATGCTAATTTAATAATTTTAAATTACACACCATAATAAGTATGTTCATTTAATCAAAATAAAAAGAATGAAGGTGGGACACTTGGGTGACACAGTTGGTTAAGCATTGGACTTCTGGTTTCTGCTCAGTTTGTGATCTCAGGGTCATGAGATTGAGCCCTATATGGGGCTCCCTGCTCAGAGGTGAGTCTGCTTGAGATTCTATTTCTTTCTGCCTTTTCCACTCATGCTCTCTCACACAACTCTCTCTCTAAAATAAATAAATATTTTTCAAAAAAAGAAAAAGAATATTGTTTTTGTTTGCAGATAAGGAAACTGACTTGCTTGAGGTCATTCAATAAAATAAATGATAGATTCTGAATTAGAACCATGTTTTTGAAGGACATTATTCTTTCCCTGTTGTTATATGAGAAATAAACCTTCAAAAACCTAAGCCAAATTATGTATTACTTAGCATGAATTTGGTTGTAAGTGACAAAAACCTCAACCCAAAATGACTTAAATGAAAAGACATTTATTACTTTATATAACAAAGTGTCTAGTGGTAGGGAGGGTCATGAGGTCAGTTGATTTTGCAACTCAATGATGTCATAAATGACCAAAATTCCTTCCTTCTTACTTTCTGGCAAAGCACAGCTTCTAAGGCTGCTTCTCCTCACAGCCACAGGATGACCTCTGGTCTTGCTTCTCTCTTCATGGGTATGGGATGGCTTCTGGTCTCAGATAGGAATGCATGCTTTTTTTTGTCCTTATCTAGCCTAAGAAAGAGCACCAGCAACAATCCCATAGAGCTTGTAACTGAAGCGTGTGCTGCATGCAAATGCTTTATGTTTCTTAGGATCCTAAAGATTCCAGACAACCAGCTATAAAAAGTATTCATGTAATTAGTAACACTGAAATAAACAGAGTTTCTCACTGCAGTAACAGCCATATGTCTTATTTGTACAGAGCTGAAATTTGCAATACATCTTTGGCAATAGCCATGCCAAGGCACTTAGACACTGTACTTCATGTTTGGTTAGCATGTTGAAGTTTCCCAAGTAGTGTAATAGCTCATTTTATAAAACCTTTATTTAGACAGGTGAGGACTCCGAGGGTCTTAAGGGAACCAAGTGATTTGGCCAAATTCAGTATCTGTTAGGAACCCAGCCAGAGGTCACATTTGATCTTCAAGCATCCTTCCTACAATTCCTTATATCACATTGATACCCCCTTCAGTGCTTGGACTTCACTAGGGAAACAGTAGCAATTTCAAAGGAATATTGCAAGTTCATACATGATGCTTATAAGCTTTAAATGTCAAGAAACTAACATTCTTTATATCCCCAATGGTAACATTTGGCCATTTGGAATTTTAGACTCAAATGTCAAATGACAGGATAAACTTGAAATCCGGGAGTCTCGTTAACTTTATCATCTCCCTTCTGTCAACATCCTATCAGTTGTTCTGATAGGTGGAATCTAATCGCCAAATCTCTCTTGCATCCGTCCTGTTTTCTATTTCCACATCCCCAGTATGTGCTCATGTCCTTGTTAGAACACAATAACCTTTGTCTCTGCCTCAATTTTCTGTCCATCGTACTTCTTACACAATGCTGCTGGATTGATATTTTCAAAATACAATGCAGATAATAACATATGCCCACCTGTCTGCCCCAGCTCTAAAACTGTAGTAATCTTCCTTTGACTACAGATTAAATTCTTAATCCCATAATCTGGCTTTCAAGGCCCTCAACAATCTGGCTCCAATATTCCTTTCCAGACCTAGAGAGGGTTCTCCTTTCAGGGTGGGAGTTGCTGGCAGTGGTGTGCTCACAATGGCTTGCAAGAGCCAGTCTTACACTTCTCTTCCCAACTCCATGTTCAGTGATGTCACTTTGGTAGCCTGAATCTGGCCATGATGGGAGCATTTACACCACACAGATCAGTCAATGCCACAGATCACAAGGTTTTTTTTTTTTTCCCTATTCTTCTCTTTTTTAAGAGCTGTTTGTTAAACATTTACTAGCACACTGCCAGTTTCAAGGTAACCAGGGATCAATCTGAGAGTAAGGGTTCCATATGGCGTGGGAACAAAGATGACACTGAAAGCCCAGGTACCAAATAAGAGATAAGAGGGTCTGTGGGAAGAGAACATGAGACAGCATGGAAAATTACTGAGAAGGTAGATCTGGGCAAATATTGAGTTCCGAGAGAAGCAGATTTTGAGAAAGGAATTTGAGGTCAAGTGATTTATCTGGAAAATGATCCCAGGAAGCACTGGTTAGGGGAATAAGGGAAGAGAGACAATGAAGGGACAGCAGCTAACATAGGGTACACTGATGAACAGGTTACAACTATGGGTAATCAATGCTCAGTACTACCAGGGCCCTTTAGGGGATTGTGTAAAATATGTCTCACAGTTGCACACAGGGGTGAGGAGTGTTCTTAGGCAGATAGCTGTGGGTGTTCTCATTAACAAGTGGCAGGTATGTAGGGGAGACTGAATGCAAAGAGGATACAAACAGGAGATGAACACTCATGGTTTTATGTTTTACATAAATTCCTGAGTGGTAGTGGGGCATCATTTAAATGGTCAATGATAGGGCACCTGGGTGGCTCAATTGGTTAAGCATCTGTCTTCACTCAGGTCATGATCTCAGGGCTCTGGGATCGAGTCCCACATCACGCTCCCTACTCAGCGGGGAGCCTGCTTCTCCCTATGCCTCTCCAGTACCAAACTTGTGCTCACTTTCTCTCAAATAAATAAATAAAATCCTTAAAAAAAATAAAAATGAATGGCCAATGATGAGGCAGATTCATCACTGTGAAAGTTGTTGTTACCCCACACACCCTATTTATTCCTTCCTTTGGGTCTACTCTCCAGTTTCTTCCTTTGCTGTAATATCCTTTGTAGCTCCCTTCAGTTTTGACAACTCCATAACTCTTCTCAACTCATCAAGGATCGTTGCCACCTCCTCCAGGAACCCCATCTATTCCCTACCCTACCCCCTGATGGTGGAAGCTGGAAGAAGCAAGCCAAACTGGAGGTCCCATGGGGTCTGATATAAAGGAGCAGAGAACAAACCCCTCTCCCCTGGTTAGAATGCCTGGGGTCAGGGAACAGAGACAAAAGTTGTCCTCTGGAGTATTCCAAATGTTTGACTCCATTTCCACGTGGGAAAGCACTCATTGCTCCTGTTTATCACTCCATCCTTCAGAGCCCACCTGGTACAGAGACCCATCGTGCGAGAGCTGCAACAGCTATTGTTGGTGGAAGAGAAAAATGAGCGAATGGAGGACTGGGTGAACAAAGGGAACGAGGTCGGGAGCCAAACCAGGCAGTTGACGTGGAATTAGAGGAGTCATGGTGTGGGTCAAGAAAAGCCTCTGGATGAATTCTGAGGACTAATGTCAAATCCTATAAGGTGCTTTCCCACATGTTACCTGGATATCTTACCTCTTGAGATTCAGTGAAATTGCCCCTAACCTCATCCCACTTGCAGTGCAGCTTCTCTATTCCAACCTCCCTAAGGGTTATGGGTTGTTTCAGTTTTCTGAGTCCCCTCTGGAGGACTGAGCTCCTACCTCCACAGAATTACAAGGGTTTCTGAGTTGCTTTGGCATCTCAGAAGTGCTGCCCCCTTTCTGTACCACAGCATGGAAGACACTTCTTGATTTCTCCCCCAGCATTGTTAATAGGAGTTGTTTGTGGAGGTAGCACACTTGACTAAGATACAGGCTTTACATTAGCATACCCTTCTAGCAAGTGTTCACCTGGGTTTCCTAAAGTTGTGTCAGTTGACCAGAAGAGGCAGCCCCTACCCCTTTCGCTCTTTTCCTGCCTCCCACCCTTCCCAGCTTTGAGAACTTTCTCTTCCCTGTGATATGGCAGCACTTTATCTGGACCTCTCCTATGGGTCTGCATTGTGGTATCTATTTACAGGTCATGTACCCTTACTGAACTGTAAACTCTGTGAGAGTGAGAGCATCTTCCTTCACTGAAATTCCAGGCTAGTCCAATATCCAACCACAGAACTGATCTTGAAAATATCTGATTTATAATTGTGGATGAATGAACGAATGTAAAGTGTTGGAGGACCACTTAGTGATCTGGAGAGGCGACCAGGGGAGGAGGAGCATAGGCTACTCCATCCCCACTTCTACTGATTGTGGGTTCCTGCTAGAATAGGCAACTACTTGTTTATTGAAGACCTACTATGTGCGAGGAACAATGGGAGGTACAGGACTGATATCTTATTAGACCTCTATCCCCACTCCAGCTTCTTGCCACCAAAAAATAGCTCTAGGGCTCTTCTTTCTATTTGTTTTTGTGGGAAAGATGAGACTTTGAGTTACAAAAGTAATATCACTGGAAATACTCAGGGCTATCATGTCTACCTCTGGGGTTTCACACTGATGACGCACATTTTCTGAAAGTGTTATTTCTATGTATCCTCGCAGCAGCCAGTACTGCAATGCCCTGCATATATCATGTGCTCAATGAGTTATTTGTCAATTGACTTCATATGAGTATGTGACAGTGCAAATATATTATAAAAAATGAGGAGTCTGTACTCCAAAAGAATCAAGTCTGTACTCCAAAAGAAACACACACACACACACACACACACACACACACACACACACAGGTGGAGCTTGGCTTAAAGTTCAAGTGTTCCTGTACCCTGCCCTGCGTATCTCTAACTAGGGGAATTTGATAAGGTAGTTGAAGGGTGATAGTACCTTTGCTCTCTCACTGCAATTGAAATCATTCTTAGCTTTTAGGTGGACCCCACTGTCTACCTTAGTGAGGCATTTTCAAGAGCATAGACTCATCTTTTTCATTATCAAAAGAAGATGCTGCTTAATTTGAGGATCCTGTTGAACAATGCAGCTCTTAGAAATGGTCACAGTTTCGTGGTTCGAAATTTTCGGTAAGTGATGGCCAGAGATTGGAGTCTGACTTAGGAACCATGGTGATAACTGAAGTTCTAGTCTGCAAAGGAGTGCAGCCTGAAAAGTCCTCTTTCTGCAGGGTGTAATGCCGGGTTCTACCCTTATTTGAGCCTGCTGTCTCTAATTCCAGCTGAGCTTTCATTTCTCAGTCCTGTGTAATCAGGTTTCATAGCAGGCTGGTGTGGCGGGGTGGAGGGTGCTAACCTCGGCAGGTGAAATGGACTAAATGTTCTTGACATCTTCTGATTGTGTACATTTTAAATGGACTACTGCCTGAAGAAAATTAGAACTAATTTACACAGGGTCTTCAGCTTGTATTTGGGTTTGCTTGAAAATAACCTATCATTCTAGGGAGTGGGGATTAATCAGTTCTTTAAAAAAAACCAACAGAACCCAAATAACAACTGGATAAATATTTATGAAGCTGCTGCAAAGGAAACTTAGACGTGCTGAGGATAATAATATATTTTTTTAACTAAAATTCACATTTGAAATCCATCCTTGAGATTCTTGGTAGCATGTGAAAGGAGGCCATTTCCAGTGAATTCATTATAAAAGTGACATCTTGCTTACAGCTAGTGAACATGCAGTGGAAGGTGGCATGGCATGTGTCTGTGGGGAAGGGGACAGGGATAATAGGTTAACCAGGAAGGAAGGCCATGAAATGTGCACATCATTGCCAGAAGGCTTCTAGAGTAATTGTATGTTAACAATCCCATAGAATTTTTTCAGAGGCTCTTTACAAGGTACCTCAAAACAACCTCACTGACTTCCTAAAGGGAGAAGATTCTAGTTTGAAGTTGTCTCCCACTGTTAGGAAGCAGACCTGTGACAGTGGCCTTGAGTCCCTCCTCTGGGCCACCTGGAAGCTCTATGCTCTCTGGACTCTGCCATGAGCACCATTTCTTTGGTGAAGAGAAGAGTCTCGGAAGCCAGATGACATTATAGATGATACTATAATTAAGCCAGTAGTATTAGACCTAGATGGGACCACAGAGCCATAGAATAATATTAGCCTTCTCTTATTTTACAGATAAGGTCAACGAGACCTAGGCAGATGATGGCATTTACTGATTAGTACTAGAGTTAGAGCACACAACCCAAGAATGTGGAGGAAAGCTCAGGTTTTGGAGTCTAAACTAGGTTCAAGGCCTGGTACCACCACTTGCTGGTTATATCGACCTTGAGCAAGTCAATAAAGTTTCTGTAATGTTGCTTCACCTATAAAATGGAAAAAGAGTAATATCTGTTCTGCTTACATCATAAGGTGGTTCAATGATTCATTTAATAAATATTGAAAGTCAAGCAGAGAAAGTCAATTATCATACGGTTTCACTTATTTGTGAAATATAAGGAATAGCATGGAAGACATTAGGAGAGGGAAAGGAAAAAGGAAGGGGGGGTAATCAGAGGGGGAGATGAACCATGAGAGACTATGGACTCCGAGAAACAAACTGAGGGTTTTAGAGGGGGAGGGGCAAGGAATGGGCTGGCCCAGTGATGGGTATTAAGGAAGGCATGGACTGCATGGAGCATTGGGTGTTATACACAATGAATCGTGGAATACTACAGCAAAAACCAATGATGTACTGTGTGGTAACTAACATAACACAATAAAAATCAATAAATCAATAAATACTTGTTGAGCACCTACTTTGTGCCACACTATCTGCAAGGTGTTGGGGATAGAGTGGCAAAGAAGGTAAGGAAAGTCTCTCATACCAGACACATGAAGTCACAGTCTACTGATAATCAGTGAGATAATGAGTGTGAAAACTGTAAAGTGACAGACGAATGTTTATTATTTTATTATTCCATCCCACTGAGTTATATCAGATAAAAGTATGATGAAATTTTTTTCCATAGTTTCTAATAAAGAATCATCACTGAGCTGAAAATAATCAACTGAATGAATAAACAAAGCTTGGAGCTTAAACTTATACTCTTCTTTGAAAATTACAGTGATGACTGATTTTTAAAATAATGATAACAAGTTCAAGTTTTTAAAGTAAAACCCCTTCCAAATAATTGGGCTTCTTTGGTATTTACTAATAATCTATCATTTATATCCAATAGCCAGACTGTAATTCACAGAGTTTTGGCAAGCCATCTCTCACAGTGAATGGGGGCTGAGGCAAAAACATGTCTAAATCAGCCCAAATCGGTACCTGTTATTTGAAAATATGAAAGCCTTGAATCACCCATGTCATTAGAGACTTAAGAGCATAAACCTTTCGTGAAAATGGGATAATGTTGAAATGGTGTCGCTCTCGTGTGGCATGGATGTTTTTTTTCCAGTTCTTTTAGTTAGCTATGCTACCTGTCAGCGAGATGAACTCAGAATTGCTGATCTTCAGTAAGACCTCTGGCTTTTGATGACCTCTCAACAACAGAGAAAACTCCCTATCAACTCTGCCTGTATTGTACTTTTACTTTGATTTTCAGCCTTCCACAGAGATTCAAGCTCTTTATTTCCCCCATATCTCTTGGGAAAGGTGAAGAGACCTCGCTACAGAACATATCACGTGATCTTAACACTATCGAATAATAAGAAATGTGTGGTTAGGGTGTGGCAATGCCACAAAATAGGGACTGCAGAGATTTGAAGTGAGCAGCCATATCGCCATGGACAGGATAAAAATAACAGCTTAAGTGAGGCTGAAGCCATTCATGCAGGTTCCCAAATCAATCATTTTTAGTCAATTATTATTTCTTTTTTCTCCAAAATCGATAGGATCAGACACCAAGACTGCCGAAAACACCCAATCCATATGCTTTTCATCTCACAAACAAGGCTCTAGAGCCTGGCGGTGTTTGGATAATAGACAGTGTCCCATGATTTGTTGCCTATTAGGGAAACCACTTATAGCTTTTAAAGAAACCACTAAAAAAATCTCTGTCTTTATCAGAGAAGACCAATTTGTAAGTGCAGTTCAATTTCATCTCACAAATAGAAATTTCTTCAGAGAATATTGGGCTAAGCCACCCAATTTTGTGGAGGTTATGGATTGGGGTGGAGGTGACTGGTTTTCAGGTATTTCATTCCAGACCTCTCTTAAGGGCTTACATAACTCATTAGGCTCCCATCATCCCACACACATATTATCTCTACAAGCATGGACACACAGATGAAGCAATTATAGGCCATCCATGCTCTTGCCTAGAGGAGAGAAAACAGTCCTCTTTGATTATTCACACCTTCTGTCATAACTTAAAATGAATGCCTTTTTAAAAACATATTTCCTGACTTCAGAAAACTACAAGGTCTGAGAACCTTGTCATGATATTTCCCTAGGCCAACAGTAAAATTTGGGTCTATTTCCGGTTTGTTATTTTTAGTAATTTAGTGATTTAACTGAAATAGAAGTAGAGGCAGATACAGATTTTCAACAGTTTTGGGGTTCCAGCCATTTTAATAACATCTGCACAAAACTAACCCTCTTCAATTTTCAGATGATGGGAAGTCACGCCATTTTGGGTTGACAATATCAGGTTTCTTAGAAACCACTAGTCACCCAGTTACAACAGTGACTTATACCACATATGAACATGCAGCAACAGTGAGAAAGGCTGCAGGTCAATTTTTAGTAAGAGACTATTATTATTGTTGTTAAAGAAGTAAAGAAATTTTAATCGGTGCTTTTTTTTTTTCAGATCAGTAGGATGAGATTCAAGAGTTTTGTGAAAATAAAGTCACTGTCCCTTGCATGCACTGCAATGTGACTTCTTGAGATGGCAATAAAGGGATGAAATTAAAGGCAGGTCACTGAGAATTCAGATGGCTCCAGTATGGCCCATGGGAAATCTTGTGTTTATAAACTTCACGAGTGTTGTGGAAGACAAAGACAAGATGGATCACTGATTTTGAGTTGATCTTCTTAATTTTTCAGATCAGGAATTGAGGCCAAAGATGGAAAATGGTATTCCCAAGGTCATAGTTGAACTAGGACTAGAATTGGAATAATTAAAACCACTGCCCTTTTTCTTCCACTGCTTTGATTACTTTGATCCTTCCAAACTGATCAAGTTGGCCATTCTACCCTTGCACAATCTCCTTTTTAAAAATACAGCCAAAATATCTCAGTAAAGAAAAAAATTAAGAAAAAATATGCCTTAATGGTTGCACCAATCTGGAACATTAAAGAAACACAAAAATCTCAGCCATAAGGCCCACTGACTCCCTCTTAGGCCTCCAGAAGATAAAGTCTTCATCTTAAATTTTCCATGGGGATCAAGATACCATTTAACACTGAATTTTTTTCCTATTCTGGTGAAGTTTATTTCTGGCTGACCACATTTTACTCAGATCAAGCACTTTTTCTTCCAACAAAATACAATTATATAAGGGAACACATCCAGATCTCCTCCCGTGCTCCAAACAATTTACCAGAGTTGGAAAACGCAGACTCTTGCAATGAAAGGTTTTATTCTGCCAATACAGAATATGCTTCCATTTTCTAGCTAGGAAGATATTTGGGTAAAACTAACACAAAGGTCTACTATTACCTTGGCTTAACTTCTTAGCACTCAGTGATCTGGGGTTGAGAAATCTCTGCAATTATTTTTTTAAGGGATAAAATTAATGCAAGGAACTAGTCTTGCTTTTTTCAAAAGCTCTGGCTTTAACCAGACTGCAATGACAGTTTGACAGAAAATCTGTACATGGTTCCCATTGTTTTCTCTAATATTATATCCTCCTTATTATGTGTTGGCTGAAGAATGATAATGTGGTTTAGGTCTGGTTTACCAAGGAGACACACTGAAATATAAGAAAACCAAGTATTTTAAGGGAACACTAAAATAGTATTCTGGCCCTGGTTCAGGTGCTCCAGAACCAGAGAAGCCTGCCTCCAACTGAGGCACAGGGTCTCTATAAGAACTTAGAAGCCATTTTTGCCAGTGGTTTTAGCTGGCTAATTCAAGTATGGATTTATCATGAGAAAGCAAGAAATGCTTGATACAGAAAAAAAGGGGGTCT